GACTCACTTGAGCCCAGGAGTTGGAGGTTGCTGTGAGCTGTGATGCCACAGCACTCTACCAGGGGGACAGCTTGAGGCTCTGTCTCAGAAAAAAAAGAAAAAACAAACAAAAAGGAAATTATAATCCAAACACACAAAATATAATAATTTATTTGGTCACAGAACCTGGGGTCTGACCTTAAACAAAACTGACTTGGAAAGGAGGGAGGAGCAGGAACAGCAGGGCTTCTTCAGAGCTTGGCCTCCGCTTAGCTTCCCAGCACCAGCAGCGTACAGGGTACTGCTGAGTTCAGTGAGAAGGTCCTGTCACTTCCAGGGTGTGCTGCAGGCAGGGGGCCTGTGGGGCACCCCACTAGGGCTGCAAGGACAGCAGGCCATGTGCATTCTCAGGCCACCGCTGGTGAGGAGGGTGTGTACATGGCCTCCGTGCCCTTTATCGTCCAGCAGGGCAGGCAGCTGCCAGAGGTGGAGTCCAGCTGCTGGTCCCAGAGAACTGTGGGACTCTTCATCTCCTCCATCTGTCGAGAAGGGAAGGGGCATGAGCAAAGGGAGGCTGCCAGGGGCCCGCTGGGGAAAGCCTATGTTTACCCTCGGAGTCATCAAGAGCCTGTGACTATCCCTGCTCCAGCCACCCAAACTCAGGTTACCCACCCACTGCCTGCCTCAGCCAGGACCTCTATCCAGGGTCTGGCTCTCAGGATGCCACAGCTATATAGTGACGACCCTTACAAGTACATATGCTTTAGGTCCTTAAAGGTATTCACCCTATCTCTGCCCCTCCTGTTGAGGAGGATTTGACAATTCTCAAGAAACAGGTTACCCAAGCTCTCTGTGATTGCACACTACAAGGCAGAAGTGGGAATTGAGCTCAGGTCTTGGGACTCCAAAGTCCAGTGCTGGAGAGACCCTGGAAGCACCCTCCAGAGAGGGTGTCCCCTAGCATCCCTAATTCTGGTGGCTCTCTCACTTGCCTGCTGAAACCTTGGCTCCACAGACCTCATTAGGACAGTCTGAGCACCTGGGAAGCCTGTAGAATTCTACCTCACAAGGTAAAGTGCAAAGGCAGGAGAGCTGAGCACC